CGATCTTGGCTCACTGCAACCTCCACCTCTCGGGTTCAAGCGATTCTCCTGCTCAGCCTCCTGAGCAGCTGGGATTACAGGCGCCCACTACCACGCCCAGCTAATTTATGTGTTTTAAGTACAGACAGGGTTTCACCTTGTTGGCCAGGCTGGTCTTGAACTCCTGGCCTCAAGTGATCTGCCCGCCTTGGCCTCCCAAAATGCTGGGATTACAGGCGTGAGCCTGCCGAGACCAGCTTGGTCGGGGAGACCCTAACCCAGCAGCGCTAGAGAAATTAGACACACATACAGAAATACAGAGGTGTGGAGTGGGAAATCAGGGGTATCACAGCCTTCAGAGCTGAGAGCCTTAAACAGATTTACCTACATATTTATGACAGCAAGCCAGTGATAAGCATTGTTTCTGTAGATTATAGATTAACTGAAAGTATTCCTAATGGGAAACAAAAGGATGGACCAAAATAAAGGGATGAGCTCTGGCGAGTTATCTGCAGCAGGAGCATGTCCTTAAGGCACAGATCGTTGATGCTATTGTTTGTGGTTTAAGAAGCCTTTACGCGGTTTTCCGCCCTGGGTGGGCCAGGTGTTCCTTGCCCTCATTCTGGTAAACCCACAACCTTCCAGTGTGGGCGTCATGGCCATCATGAACATGTCACAGTGCTGCAGAGATTTTGTTTATGGCCAGTTTTGGGCCGCTTTATGACCAGATTTTGGGAGCCTATTCCCAACATGAGCCACTGCGCCTGGCAGGATGTGCTTACTCTTAGTGAACCCACACAATGTCCTTCCCTTTCTTAATGCTCAGGTGTCTATTTAATATTCAGTTTGTAGACTGTTCTGAAATTTGGCTGGATCCGTGGGTCTGTGTTTTTCAGAATCTGTGCAATTCCTCTTTGTCTGCAAGCACACTTCTGGCTCTTCCCATGAAACGTCAGGGCTGGGTCGTAATTATCAGATCTGACAACCTGGCTCTCCCAGAAGACCAGAGTTCTGCCAGCTCCTCTCGGGATCCTGGCACCTGATCCCTCCTGTACCTGCACCGTGCTCCTTTAGTGT